ACACAGCATTGTTTTCTCTTCTGCAGTATAAAAGATACCATGATACTACCATGCACTATGTGATCATTTATACCTTGACGTAGGGTTGTCACGGTACTAGAATTTACCAATCGATATACTGATATTTTTAAAACATCCATTTCCCGCTAACATTTGAGCACTGTTGAGCGCATTCTTAAATACCGCTGATTTACCATTGTGTTCATGTGCTCGACAGAAATGACTGTAATTGGCCGTGTAGGTCATCAGTTCACCGAATTCACCGCTTTTTACGAAGTGTAACAACAGATACAGGGACACAAGAGTGTTTTAAAGCTAGGATTCATCAGTGGATGTCTCAAATGTTAGCAGGAAACGGATGTTTTTAAAATTTCAGTTTCCATTAGTACCGAATTCCAGAATAGTGATGACCCTATATCTTGACGCGCAACTTATTTCACCCAAAAATTAAATCCTGTTTAGGGTTCAACGTTAAGGACACTTTCTACTGGCCTGACTGGACCAGCGGTTCAGATTTTTACTTGCCCTGCCAAAATTTCCACTGGCCCCATGAAATAAAAAATAGCTATTTCTTAGCCACTTATATTAAATTATGTGTCAAAAATAATGTCTGTGAATCTAGAATTTAAATATTTTTAAAATGTATAAATATTTTGCAGTAAAATATAGCAGTATGAAAAATGTAAAGGTATTTTATTGCAAAACAAAAGGTGGCTGACTTAAAAGTGATGGAAAACTATATACCAAGAAGCAATATGGTGTTTACGACTTCACAGAAAAGGACAGAAAGACCTTATAGCACAAATTGTTTCTCTCTAATTAAAAATTAAAATTACAATTTTGTGACAAGGCAGCACTGGCCTGTTTAGGCCAGTAACGATTCTCTCATCTGTCCCAAATATCTCTCTCGCTGGCCCCGGACCATCGGGCAATCCTTATTGTTAAGCCCTGCTGTTGTTAATTTACCCACACATAGCCCATGTAAACATAGGTGCCTTTTTCTTCAAAGTAACATTAAAGATGCTTAGGGAGATTCAAAAATTAGTGCTGCACTACATTGGAAAAAACATTGAAACATTTAGATTTTCTACAACAGTAGCCAACAATTAAAGTGGATCAAAAAAAAATTTTTATGAAAATTGTCTAAAAATATTGAACACCTACTCTTGTTTTAAGACACATTTTATCCACTATTTGATCCTATGCGACGGTGTGTGAAAAATGCACCAGACAACTTGAATTTAGATTTTGTATGCACAGTGCTCAGCATACGAGTACACCCCTCACAAATCGCTCATTTAAATTCTTACTTTCTCTAGGATGCTTTACTATATTTTGGCATTTACATTAGATTAGTCAGTTCTGAAGCCAAATTTGAAGCTAATCTAACAAAACAACTTACAATAACAGTCCAAAATTAGTAGCACAAATTTATAGGTTAGGGAAAATAGTAAATAAATATTTTAAAAAGAACAAAAATCAAAAGAAACACAAAATATGGAGGATTTTGTTGAAATCTTGCTGTTTGTAATTTTGTTTGCAATATTTTGCATGAATTTAAATGTATAATGTTTCTATTTCTAAAGATGTTAGATAGCTAAAATATCATTTTAATATGTGCACCAAAATATATTACAGATATTCACTGAGAAATGGATAAAAAAATTCATTTCTAAAATGGGGTGTGCTCATTTATGCAGAGCACTGTATATCTGCATAAGACAAAGAAATTACAGAAAAAACATAACCCCCTCTAAATTAAATAGAGTTTTTACTTGAGATTACACATCCTGCGCTCCTAAGAGTGTTGCAAGATACACACATTGCGATGTCAGTGCTGAAATAATATATTTTGCAACCCTAGTAAATAAAATGTCAACAGCTACCAACACTAACAAAATAAATAGAGGAGGAGGCTCCTGAGTGAAAATACAAAGATATAAAATGAAGCAGAACGATCAGTCTGTGCAAGAAACTGAGCATTTACAACAAATCCACAGCATCAACAAACAATTCTAAGCATGTTGACAACTGGAGCAGCTTCAGTTATTTAATAAGACCCCATTGTATTTTCAGGAGCCATGGGCATTAATGTTGTTGTGCTTATTTGTTTTCAAGGTTTTTGACTCTCAAACTGTCCTCACTCTTTTTTGTATCTAACAGAACCTGGGTTTTAGCTAAAAGTCTAAAATAAAATCAGCCAGGGATAGCCTGAGGTTGAGAAAACATATTTCCATTTTTAGGTGAAGAACCTCTTTAAACACCATAAAACAAGAACACAGCAGTCATTCAGCACCATGCTGATTCATGTGAAAGCAACACTGCGCTAACATAACATATGATAATACATGAAAATTTGCATTGGTATTGTTTTTATTTGAGGAGTTACTGCTGCACAAAACTAGGTAAACATGAATGATGCAAATTTTTCAAGGTTAAAATATAAACCGACAAAGCACCGTCTAAAAAAACTGCACACAATAACAGACCAGGCAAAAACAACAGAATTACATACGAATAGCTTACATAAAATATGCATTATTATACCTGGATGGATGGATGGATGGATGGATGGATGGAAGGACAAGATAAGATAAGATAAGATTAGATAGATAGATAGATAGATAGATAGATAGATAGATAGATAGATAGATAGATAGATAGATAGATAGATAGATAGATAGATAGATAGATAGATAGATAGATAGATAGATAGATAGATAGATAGATAGTTTAAAAAAGGAAAGAAAGAAAGAAAGAAAGAAAGAAAGAAAGAAAGAAAGAAAGAAAGAAAGAAAGAAAGAAAGAAAGAAAGAAAGAAAGAAAGACGTCATTTTTACACAAACACACTAATTAACCTAAATGGATATAACAGCTTTAATTACCTCGATCAGGCTAAACAAATGTAACAAACAACAAAATTAAAGAGATTTAAATGTAATGGTGTTGTCGAAAATGACCAGAACTCCTTTAATAAATAAATGAAAGCCAAAGTTGTGAATTTCACCGCAAAACAAGTCAAATACAATAAGTAACGTTATTCATGAGGCAAAACATAAAAGTTATGGGCATTAATATTGTTTTGCTTATTTGTTTTGGGGTTTTTTTGACTCTCAAAGTGTCCTCAGTCTTTTTTGCATGACCCAGAATCTCGGTTTTAGCTTAACATCTTCTTTTATGCTTTTTTGAAAAGGCAAGATATATTTTGAGATAACCTGAGGTTGATCAAATTTTAATTTCTGGGTGCAGTAGCTCTTTAAACAGCATAAAACAAGAACACAGCAGTCATTCAGCACCATGCTAATTCATGTGAAAGCAACACTGCGCTAATGCTACATATGATAACTACATAAAAAAAGTTGCATTGGTATTGTTTTATTTGAGGAATTTCTGCTGCACATAACAAGGTAAACATGAATGATTACAATTTTCAGGATTATATAGAGTGATAAAACAACGTCTCTAAAAACTGCACACCACAACAAACCAGGAAAAACAACAACAAAATTATATATGAAGAGCTTTCATAAATTATGCAATATTCTATCCGCACAGACAGACAGACAGACAGATAGATAGATAGATAGATAGATAGAAGCACATTTACATATATACCAAGTAGCGTTATATAAACAGATATAATCCCTTTAAATCCCCCAATTAGTTAAACAAAAGTACCAAAGAGCTAAATTCAGGAGATTTAAATATAATTACGTTGTTGAAAATGACCAGAACTCCTCTGATATCTTCTAAATCACCCGGCTATATTTGAGAAATGAACAGCTAGTATTCAAACGGCTGTGTTTGGGTCAATTTTTAAAAGTGAAGACAATTAATGTTGTTTTCCTCATTTGTTTTTGGGCTTTTTTGACTCTCAAAGTGTCCTCAGTCTTTTCTGAATCAGCCAGAATCACAGTTTCAGCTAAACATCTTCTTTTATGCTTTTTCCAGGTCAAGACAAGACATATTTTGGGATATCTGAGGTTGAGTAAATTAACAACAAATTTTTATCTTTGAGTGAAGTATCTCTTTAAACACCATAAAACAAGAACACAGCAGTCATTTAGCACCATGATTCACATGAACTGTGGTGAAGTTGGTTTTATATTTGCGCATTTGTTCATTTGATGGTCACTATATTGTTAACTATGCTAATTTGAAAATTCAATCTAAAATATCATGCAAGTATGACTTCAAAACAATTAAATAGCACTATTTTATTGACTGTAAACAATGTTGTTCTTTAATAATTCAGTCATTGGCAGCTAATATGATTTCCCTATTTAGAATTTTTAAATAAGTCATATATTATTTGGGAGAAAGTCTAAATGTGCGCATATAAAACCAACTTTACTTCACTTTCAGGTGAAAGCAACACTGCGCTAACGTTACATATGATAATGCATGAAAATTTGCATTGGTATTGTTTTTATTTGAGGAATTATTGTTGCACATAACTAGGTAAACATGAATAATGCAAAGTTTTCAGGGTTAAAATATAAACCAACGCCTCTAAAAAATGCACACCATAACAGACCAGGAAAAACAACAACAAAATTATATATGAAGAGCGTTCATAAATTATGTATTATTCTACCTGCATAGATAGATAGATAGATAGATAGATAGATAGATAGATAGATAGATAGATAGATAGATAGATAGATAGATAGATAGATAGAAAGAAGCACATTTATACACATATGTTACCAAGTAACGTTATATTAACAGATATAACAGTTAATCCAATTAATTCCCCCGATTAGCACAAGTAACAAACAGCTAAAATAAAGAGATTTAAATGTAATGACGTTGTCAGAACTCCTCTGATAAATAAATAAACGCCTAATTGTGAATTTCACCACGAATCATGTCAAAAACAGTCAATATGTAACGTTATTTATGAGACAAACACACAAGACGTCACGAGCCTTGACAAACAGGGAAGACATCAAACCTTAAAAACAACAACATACATGTTCCCAAACTGTTAACGTTACCTTAAGGATTGTAGAATCCCGATATCTACGAAATCGCCCGGTTATATCCGAGAAATAAACGGCTACCATCCGAACGGATGTGTATGGTTCAATAGCAGCACATGGCCTTCCAGACGGGGTGTCGAAAACTGGGGGGACCGGACCAAATTCCCAGAATCGCTCCTGAATTTGGATCGGACGGATCTACTTTCGTTCATTATATGCGACAAGCAAGTCTTCGGTCTCCAGGGGGCGACTGACGGCTCAATACAACCACCTCCGCATTTAAACTTCATCATGTTTTTGTATTTTTAAGGCATATTTATGCTAGTAAATATAACCGCGAAATCTATTAATTTCATTGTTTATTACATAACAAATGCGTTAATAAAACCGCTTCGATTATGTCTATAAATGTATGAAATAAATCTCATTTCCTGATCATCACAGGCGACTGTGATTGGTGCGTCTCTTTCAGCGCTGAGAAATGTAACACGTACCATGTGGCAGGGTTGTTGTTTAGTAGTAATGGGGATTATTTTTTTACACAAATAACAATGTTATAGCCATTAATATTTATAATAATACTAAGATTAATAATAAAGATAGAGTAGTTTTTTTAAGTCGCTAAAAACTGGACAAATCAGACGCCATAGTCGGCTGCTAAGCCACGCCTATTTGCTCCTTTGTAAATGGTGATGCAGGATTTATTTCTGTGAATTTCTGGCCGGATGGAGGACTGGACTGAACTGGAGGGGATGGGACGGGACGGGCTTCAGTGCGCAGCGGGGGCGGATTACTGACGTGGGCGAAGGATCACTCAACCAAGACCCAAACTTACGCACATGATTTTATCCTTGGTGTTCATTATCAGTGACCAAAACGATGTTGATATTAGACGATGACCACAGTCATAGGGACTAACAGCTCATAAATATTTATTAGGTTTAACCGCCATTAATAACATGGAAAATTTGTAAGAGACAAGGTACTTAATTAAAATGTGAAAGTATGTTTATAGCTTATCGTTTTCAAGTATAAATTAGACATTTATTAGGCCTAGATGTTTTAATAACAGCTACATTCACACCTAAAAATTATGTGAATTTACATATTAAATTGGTGGTTCATTCCGCTGTGGCGATCCCAGATCATTAAAGGGACCAAGCTGAAAAAAAATGAATAAATGATTAAATATGAAGTTAAATTAAACTAAATGTATTTAATTAGTATGTTTATGTAAAGGCTAAATAAATCCCATTTTATACAATTGTTTTTCAAATATTTATTTTATTGTGCGTGAATAAATGGAATTGAAGACGTCTCAAATGTTTGAAATATAAACAGATGCGCAAACATGCTATTTTATGCAACTATTGATATACTATACTGTTTTTATAAATTTTCTTGTTATGAAAATCTTTGAAAGTCAAAATAAATGTTATGTAATATGTGAATGTAATAAATATTTAGCAAAAAATATATACATACAGTTGAAGTCAGAATTATTAGCCCCCCTGAATTATTAGACCGCTTGTTTATTTTTTTCTTAATTTCTGTTTAACAGAGAGCTTTTTCAATACATTTCTAAACATAATAGTTTTAATAACTCATTTCTAATAACAGATTTATTGTATGTTTGTCATGATGACTGTAATGGAAACTCATTTATATAAATTTTTTAGATGTGCACGTGTAATGGAAATTAATTTGTATTCATTTTCAGTTGTGTATGCATTTTTCCATATAGCTTTACATTCCTGTACTTGACTATCCTGTCCTTGTCCCTCAGCATAGCTTTACTATGAACGGCTATCTGACATATGATGTGTAAGGGGCATGGGTCAGAGCTATATCTGTCTGATAAATGATGGGAAAGGGGCATGGGTCAGAACGGCTGAAACACCTGACGCAGTATGGTATAGGCTGAATTAGAAGCGACCTTTTAAGAAGAAACCAGATAAAAGGGAGAGCACAGTGTTTCAGTGTCTCACTCTGCAGAAACAGTTGTTGCTGTACACTTGCAGCTCATCCAGAATGCTGCAGCCAGAATTCTGACCAGAAGCAGGAAATCAGAGCACATCACACCTGTCCTCAGGTCTCTACACTGGCTGCCAGTTACATTCAGAATAGATTTTAAAGTATTATTACTGGTCTATAAATTACTAAATGGCCTAGGACCTAAATACATTACAGATATGCTCACTGAATACAAACCTAACAGATCACTCAGATCTTTAGGATCATATAAACTAGAAGTTCCAAGAGTTCAGTCTAAGCAGGGTGAATCTGCCTTCAGCCACTACGCCCCTTGCTGCTGGAATCAGCTTCCAGAAATGATCAGATGTGCTCCAACATTAGGCACATTCAAATCAAGACTGAAAACACATCTGTTTAGCTGTGCCTTTACTGAATGAGCACTGTGCTGCGTCCGACAGATCGCACTATTATGTTTTTCGTTTTCTTTTTCATTCTTTTATAACCTATTTTAACTCATTTTTATTTGTTTTTATCTGTTTTTAATAATTTTTATTGTCTGCATTTTATTTTCCTAAACTTGTCTTTTTTATTCCTGTTTATGTAAAGCACCTTGTATGATTGTGACCTTCTTTAATGTATAAATCTTTTGAAAAGACACCCCGGGTAAGACTTTAGGCTCTATTTTGATGGTCCATGCACAAAGCGCAAATATTTGTTTTAAAACTATTTTTAAATTCAGTTAAAATTTCCAGCAAATGAATAAATGAAGAATAATAACGAAGTATGTTCAAAAAACTAAGTTTTATCCTAAAACACATGCTGTGCCCCATATGGTCTAAAACCTGCAGGTGGGCAAATCTAAGCTTGTTTTTAATAAAACAAATATAAATATGGATATAATAAATAATACTGCTAATAATAATAACATTATACAAAAGCAAATTGTTATGAATGAACTGAAAAAGCCTCCCGAGATGAAGAAGACATAAAAAGCAGTGATTTTTCATATTCATGTAGGCTAGAAAATAATATGTTTTGTAATATTTTAATCCTTTATATTTATATCCTACACATATTCTTATTATATCCTATATATATATATATATATATATATATATATATATATATATATATATATATATATATATATATATATATATATCCTGAATATTTTATTTTTTTCCATAAGTAAAGATTTTTGCGTATTGCTCTACATCTTCCTGTGTGTATTAAGCAGTGTGTAAGCGAGGCGCAACTCTGCGTTCGACTTTAGACCGGGTCAATTGAAAAATCTATTATAGTTTCTCAAAATAGCAATGCGCCAGCGGTCCGCCTCAGAACTCCTTCCTTTTTAGACCAGAACGCCTATGGACGCACATATGAGCGCAAATGCATTTGCAATTTAAACAGCGTAGCGCAACCCCTCAAAATGACTCTTGTGCCAAGCTGAAACTAGCAAAAGACTATTGCGCCGTTTCTTGCCACATTGCGCCGGGTGTATGATAGGGCCCTTTGTCTTCTTTACCACAGAGAAAGCTTCTTTAAAGAAAATTTGCCACTACAATGACAGTAAATAATATTAGACTAGATATTTTTCAAGACACTTTTATACAGCTTAAAGTGACATTTAAAGGCTTAACTAGATTAATAAGGTTAACTAGGCAGGTTAGGGTAATTAGGCAAGTTATTGTATAATGATGGTTTATTCTGTAGACCATCGAGAAAAAAAAAAAGCTTTTAAAGCATGTTTAAAAAAATTAAAAACTGCTTTTATTCTAGCCGAAATAAAACAAATAAGACTTTCTCCAGAAGAAAAAATTAGGAAAATATTTAAAAAAGAAGAAAAAATTTGAAGGGGTGCTAATAATTCTGACTTTATCTGTATATACATTTGTAATTTAACAAAATTTTATCGAAATAATAGCACAAGAATTTTAAGAATCTTTTATGTCTAAAAAAAAAAGCTGCAGCGTTTATTCACTGACACTAACCATGTTTATGTATATAAATATATTTATAAATATATTTATATATTTTAAAATATATTAATGTTGCTGTAAATTACTATAAAAAAGCTGCCTTTATAGCAGAGATGCCCAATAGGGCCAGTCTGCCAAAGTTGGCCCATGCTAATCTTTAATTTGGCCCACTATCCCATTTGAGAAGAGAAGGAGAATGATGGGGAGGTGGTCGGGACAGAGATTCTCATTTCCAATTTACTGTAACCTTTTGTCTGTTTTGTAATTTATTTTGTTTTGTAAATTATTCTGATGTTTAAAATGTCAATACTGCTACTTGACAGACAGACGGCAATGCACAAAACATCGGCAAGCAAATCAAGGTGAAGGCAGGTGCAGCGTAGTGTATTTGGCATTGAATTACAGCATGAGGTAATATAAGCCAAAACAAATTTAGTATTTTTAAATATTAGGAAAAAAAATTTATGGAAACTTTAAAGTAATACAGTTTGGTATTTACAGTTAAAGTCAGAATTATTAGCCCCCCTTTGAATTTTTTTATATTTTAATTATTTCCCAAATGATGCTTAACAGAGCAATGAAATGTTCACAGTATGTCTGATAATATTTTTTTTTCTTCTGGAGAAAGTCTTATTTGTTTTATTTCGGCTAGAATAAAAGCAGTTTTTAATGTTTTTAATTCATTTTGAGATTAAAGTTATTAGCCCCTTTAAACTTTTTATTTCAGTTGTCTACAGAACAAACCATCATTAAACAATAACTTGCCTAATTACCCTAGTACCCCAGCCTTTAAATGTCTCTTTAAGCTTTGTAGAAGTGTCTTGAAAAATATCTAGTCAAATATTATTTACTGTCGTCATGGCAAAGATAAAATAAATCAGTTATTAGAAATTAGTTATTAAAGCTATTATGTTTAGAAATGTGTGGAAAAAGATCTGCTCTCCGTTAAAAAGAAATTAGGGAAAAATAAACAAGGGGAATCTAATAATTCAGGGGGGCTAATAATTCTGACTTTAACTGTAACTTTGGCCCTAATAAAGTTTGTTTTTTTCCCCTTAATAAGAAACTGTGTGAGCACTGAAGCTTGAGAAGCATTTCCACCAATGCTCTGTAGATGGAGCTCTGCTCATATACATAAATGATGCATTTTTTTTTAAATTAAACTTTAATTATTAAATACAGTAGGCTTATAAACGCATACATGAGTTATCACATTGAATCTTCTGCCATTTACCCAGTGATTTCTGGACCGCAATTTAATTAACATGAAGCACCTACATCTATGACTCGCGCTATAAATCTTGAGGTTTTATTTCTTCAACCTCAAACGGAAGGCAGCAGTAGGAGGAGAACTTTAACGGTTCATATATTCATAACGCCTTCAACACATTGACAGAAACAGAGAAGACCTTTACATCCTCGAAATGATTATCTACTGGACAACGATCCTAAACATTTTCATCATGTCTGATAAAGTCAAAGGCTGGAATTCCTCAGGTCAGATAATCAAGGCTAAATAATCAGGATAATCCTTTTAAATCCACTCCACATGAGGAAAATACTATAGTGCCTTTTCTATTTTTTTTCATTCAAACGATAAACTGTAATAAATATTAAGTTTACTTCATATTTTTACTGCACTTGTGTATTGTAGTATACTATAGTTGTAGAAAACTAAAGTATTAGGTCATTTTCAGTGCTGGGTAAAGTCATTTTTTTAAAGTAGCTCTTAGATTTTTATATTGACTCACTTCTTTAAGTAAAAGTATATAACTGTGTGCTGGGTAAAGTCTTTTTTAAAGTAGCCAATATATTACAATATAAATCTCTTTTGTTACAGTAAAGTTAAGTGTATGTGTGCTGGGTAAGGTCTTTTTTTTAAAGTAGCTAATACATTACAGCATGAGTTTTTTTTTAAAGTAACGTTAATTAAATGTGTGCTGGGGAAAGTTCTTTTTTACAGTGGCTAATATATTACAGTATGACTCATTCTTTTTAAGTAACTATAACTAAATGTGTGCTGGGTTAAGTCTTTTTTTAAAGTACAGCTGATTGGGTTTTTTTTAAGTAAAATTAATTAAATATGTGCTGGGTAAAGTATTTTTTAAAGTAGCTAATATATTACAATATAAGTCACTTTTTTAAAGTAACGTTAATTAAATGTGTGCTGTGTTGGTGAAGTCTGTTTTTAAAGTACAGCTAATTGAGTTTTTTTTTTTTTTAAAGTAACGTTAACTAAATATGTGCTGGGTAAAGTATTTTTTAAAGTAGCTAATATATTACAGTATAAGTAACTTTTGTTAAAGTAACTTTAATTAAATGTGTGCTGGGTAAAGTCATTTTTAAAGTAACTAATATATTACAGTATTAGTCACTTTTGTTAAAATAACGTTAATTAAATGTGTGTTAGCTGGGTAAAGTCATTTTTTTAAGTAGCTATTATATTACAGTATGACTCATTCTTTTTTAAGTAACAATAACTAAATGTGTGCTGGGTTAAGTCATTTTTTTAAAGTACAGGTAATTGAATTTTTTTTTAAGTAACATTAATTAAATGTGTGCTGGGTAAAGTAAAATTTTTTAAGTATAGCTAATTGAGTCGCTTTTTTAAAGTCGTGTTTATTAAATGTGTGCCGGGTAAAGTCATTTTTTCAAAGGTAGCTAATATATTACAATATGAGTTGTTTTTTTTAAAGTAACATTAACTCAATATGTGCTGGGTAAAGTAATTTTTTTTAAGTATAGCTAATATATTACAATATAAGTCACTTTTTTAAAGTAACGTTAACTAAATGTGTGCTGGGTAAAGTCATTTTTTTATGTATAGCTAATTTAGTCGTTTTTAAAAGTAACGTTAACTAAATGTGTGCTGGGTAAAGTCATTTTTAAAGAAGCTAATATATTACAATATGAGTCACTTTTTTAAAGTAACGTTAACTAAATGTGTGCTGGGTAAAGTCATTTTTTTTAAGTATAGCTAATATATTACAATATTACGTCTTTTTAAAGTAACGTTAACTAAATGTATGCTGGGTAAAGCCATTTTTTAAAGTAGCTAATATATTACAATATAAGTCACTTTTTTAAAGTAACGTTAACTAAATGTGTGCTGGGTAAAGTAATTTTTTTATGTATAGCTAATTGAGTCGTTTTTTTAAAGTAACGTTAACTAAATGTGTGCTGGGTAAAGTCATTTTTAAAGTAGCTAATATATTACAATATGAGTCACTTTTTTAAAGTAACGTTAACTAAATGTGTGCTGGGTAAAGTCATTTTTTTTAAGTATAGCTAATATATTACAATATTACGTCTTTTTAAAGTAACGTTAACTAAATGTATGCTGGGTAAAGCCATTTTTTAAAGTAGCTAATATATTACAATATAAGTCACTTTTTTAAAGTAACGTTAACTAAATGTGTGCTGGGTAAAGTCATTTTTTTTAAGTATAGCTAATATATTACAATATTACGTCTTTTTAAAGTAACGTTAACTAAATGTATGCTGGGTAAAGCCATTTTTTAAAGTAGCTAATATATTACAATATAAGTCACTTTTTTAAAGTAACGTTAACTAAATGTGTGCTGGGTAAAGTCATTTTTTTTAAGTATAGCTAATATATTACAATATTACGTCTTTTTAAAGTAACGTTAACTAAATGTATGCTGGGTAAAGCCATTTTTTAAAGTAGCTAATATATTACAATATAAGTCACTTTTTTAAAGTAACTTTAACTAAATGTGTGCTGGGTGAAGTCATTTTTTTATGTATAGCTAATTTAGTCGTTTTTAAAAGTAACGTTAACTAAATGTGTGCTGGGTAAAGTCATTTTTAAAGTAGCTAATATATTACAATATGAGTCACTTTTTTAAAGTAACGTTAACTAAATGTGTGCTGGGTAAAGTCATTTTTTTAAGTATAGCTAATATATTACAATATTACGTCTTTTTAAAGTAACGTTAACTAAATGTATGCTGGGTAAAGCCATTTTTTAAAGTAGCTAATATATTACAATATAAGTCACTTTTTTAAAGTAACGTTAACTAAATGTGTGCTGGGTAAAGTCATTTTTTTATGTATAGCTAATTGAGTCGTTTTTTTAAAGTAACGTTAACTAAATGTGTGCTGGGTGAAGTCATTTTTTTAAAGTACAGCTAATTGAGTTTTGTTTTAAGTATTGTTAACTAAATGTGTGCTGGGTAAAGCCATTTTTTAAAGTAACTAATATATTACAATATAAGTCACTTTTTTAAAGTAACGTTAACTAAATGTGTGCTGGGTGAAGTAATTTTTTTTTCATGTATAGCTAATTGAGTCGTTTTTTTAAAGTAAAGTTAACTAAATGTGTGCTGGGTAAAGTCATTTTTAAAGTAGCTATTATATTACAATACGAGTCGCTTTTTTATAGTAACATTAACTAAATGTGTGCTGGGTAAAGTCATTTTTAAAGTAGCTATTATATTACAATACGAGTCGCTTTTTTATAGTAACATTAACTAAATGTGTGCTGGGTAAAGCCGTTTTTTTAAAGAACAGCTAATTGAGTTTATTTTCTTTTTTTTAAGAAACATTAACTAAATGTGTGCTTGGTAAAGTAAAAATTTGTTTAGGTATAGCTAATTGAGTCGCTTTTTTAAAGTAATGTTAACTAAATATGTGCTGGGTAAAGTACATTTTTTTTAAGTATAGCTTAAATATTACAATATTACGTCTTCATTTTAAAGTAACGTTCACTAAATGTGTGCTGGGTAAAGTAGCTAATATATGACAATATGAGTCCCTTTTTTAAAGTAACTAAATGTTCTGCTTATTTACTTTTTAAGGAAAGGAATGTGAAAGTATGATGTGTTAAGATTACGATTTTTATTGTAACAAATTACCTTTAAAATTAATTTTCTACAGCACTGGTCATATTTGTGTCGCCATAGAAATACCACAATTTATTAATTCAAGTAAACTAATCTGTTAAAAAAAGCACAGCATGTACAATAAAATAATGTAGTATTTCTTTCACATGGGACTGGTCAAACGTTTTGTTTTTAGTCTGTAATGTGTGTGCTGCATTTCTTCTAATGTATAAGTTCATCTTAATATTTTCAACAGATATTACCTCTCCGCCAAACAATATTAAGCTTCAAGCTTTGGACATGTGGAGACTTAAGATTGAGTGGAATATAAATCAAAACAAACAGAGAATTGAAGTGTATGAAATACAAGTTGGACGCACAAAAAACATGGATATTATTTATAGCGTGAGTGAACATTACTTTCACATTATGACCCAATTATTATTATTATTTCAGCATAAAGTCCTGTAATCTGTGACTGTATGTTGACAGGTGAATGTTAGCAGAGGATTACACGCAGTGATCTGGAGCTCTCAGCTGCCTCTGAACTGTGTAAATCACGCTGTCAGAATAAGACTCATCACTGCAGCTTCAACATTCAGCTCCTGGAGTCCATGGAAAACCAACTACGGTAGGCATTTAAAGTTTAATTCAGTAGTACATGATGTAGTGCCCACAAGACAAAAATACTAAAATAATTAATAGTAAATACTATTGTGTTTTAACCATATTATACACTCTAAAAAGGATTTCTTGATGATTCATATGTGGTCTGAGGTCGATTGGCCACGCTGCAAAAAGGCTTTTCTCAGATTTTTTGTCTTGTTTATAGCCTAAATATCTCAAAATTCCTAAACTGAGAAGCAATCTTATGATTAATAAAAAATGTTGTTTTAAGAAATAATAACTGACTTTTTCCTTAAAATCAACAAAATATTCAGAAAAAAATCTATATAAAAGTAATCTTGTCAAAAGGAAAAACAAGATTATTTTGATAAAGTGTCTACTTTAATAACATGTGGAAATAGTAAAATGTCTATATATATATATATATTTATATTTATTTATTTATTTATTTATTTATTTATTTATTTATTTATTTATTTATTAGGGATGTCCAGATCCGATCGGGCCCTATCACGCGGTTTTAGATTCGATCTGAATCAGACGTTACCTTCCGATCAGGCCTCCTTTATATAATTTCGTTATTTTATAACACATTTATAGTTATGCGGTGGCACAGTGTTAGACCTCTTTCTTGACGTCACACAGAAACAGCAACGCGTATGGCATGACATCAATTTGTTGCAGAGACGCTTTTGGTTAAATGCCGGCAAAGTAGAACACGGAAGTAGATTGAAGCGGAAAGCGCGAGTTCTGGATGTATTATAAAGCTGATGACGACTACATTGCTTTAGCAAACTGTGAGATATGTAAACTTGGGATTGCAAGAGGTGGAAAAGGAAAGGCTATATTTACAGTAACGCAACAAACCTGGTAATGCACCTCAAAAACAAACACCCGACACAATACAGCAAGTTTCATTAAAAAAACATACATTTCCTTCTGTGAAACTTACTGCTGCGATGACAGTAAGAATTAGAAATACAGTTCCTGAAAAGTGAAGTCTAAAAGTGAAGAATTGACGTTATTTATTACTTGATCAAGCTACCTCACAACAATGTGTTAACATGGTTGTTGAATGTTTACATGAGGTGAATTTAAAAAGAAAATAAGGAAGATCCTGGATCTGTTTCTTCACTTTTCTTCATACTTTTTTTATGTATTAAAGAAATATTGGATCGGGTTTCGGTAGATACTCAAAATCAAATGACTCGGAGGCAAAAAACCCTGATTGGGACATCCCTTATATATATATATATATATATATATATATATATATATATATATATATATATATATATATATATATATATTTTAGCCCCTCTGTTTAATCCCCCCCAATTTCTGTTTAACGAAGAGCAGATTGTTTCAGCACATTTCTAATCATAATAGTTTTAATAACTCATTTATAATAACTGATTTATTTTATTTTTGCCATGATGACAGTAAGTAATATTTGACTAGACATTTTTCAAGAAACTTCTATACAGCTTAAAGTGACATTTAAAGGCGTAACTAGGTTAATTGGGCTTACTAGGCAGGTTAGGATAATTAGACCAGATATTGTATAACGATGGTTTGTTCTGTAGACTATCAAAAAAATATAGCTTAAAAAGGTTAATAATTTTGTCTCTAAAATGATTTTTAAAAAATTAAAAGCTGCTTTTATTCTAGCCAAAATAAATCAAATAGGACTTTCTCCTAAAGAAAAAATATTATCAGACATACTCTGAAAATTTCTTTGCTCTATGAAACATCATTTGGGAAATATTTAAAAAAGAAAAAAATCAAAGGGGGGCTAAAAATTCTGACTTTATATATATATATGTTGTTAAATATATTATAAGCTACACTGATAGTAACTTCCTCTTTTTATCCATGATGGTACTGACCTTTTCATGAGCCTGTTTCTGTGCCTCTTAACTGTCACTGATGAGTGTGCACTTCTGAGGATGTGTTGCTCAACCAATCTCACCATTTAAACAACATCAGGTCAACACGGACCTGCAAACGACCACTTAGACCACTGCAACACAACAAAACTCAACTAAATCACCTCGGCATAGCTTTGTGTAAAATACAAAAAATGACCAAATGTAATTTTTTTCCCAAGACAATCAAGAATGAATGATTATATGGTGTCAAGGCAATCAAAAAATGTCATTATAATGAAAGTCAATAGGTCAAAAACAGACCCTAACATAACGATAAGGTAGTAAAGTTGCCCAGAGTGTATTGTTAAATTTTTACTTTTTGAAAGCATTTTTCCAAAATATGTCAAAATATGTTTTCACCAAAAGTTGTGGCCAAATTAAACCTAAAAATCAACCCAGAGTGGATGAAAACATCCCCATAAGCACACAAGGGTTAATGACAGTTGTTATTAGCATGCATAAAATATCATTCATATTCATGATGTTTCATATCATGATCATAAAGGTTTCATGATGTCCCCTTCAAGTACAGTGTTACCATTTAGGGTACGTGACAACTGACAAATGAAGTACTAATAGATTCATTCATTCATTCATTCATTCATTCATTCATTCATTTTCCTTCAGCTTAGTTCAGATAAATTGATCTTTATGTTTATAGCACTTTTACTATGTAGATTTTGTCAAAGCAGCTTAACATAGAAGTTCTAGTAAATTGAAATTGCATCAGTCCAGTTTTCAGAGTTGAAGTTCAGTTTAGTTCAGTTCATTCATTCATTTTCTTTTCGGCTTAGTCCCTTTATTAATCCGGGGTCGCCACAGCGGAATGAATTGTCAACTTATCCAGCATATGTTTTATGCAGCAAATGTCCTTCCAGCTGCAACCCATCTCTGGGAAACATCCATACACACTCATACACTACGGCCAATTTAGCCTCCCCAATTCATCTGTACCACATGTCTTTGGACTGTGGGGGAAACCGGAGCACCCAGGAGAAACCCACGCGAACGGGGGGAGAACACACAAACTTCACACAGAAACGCCAACTGACCCAGCCGAGGCTTCATCCAGCAACCTTTTTGCTGTGAGGCAACAGCACTACCAAAGTTCAGTTCAGTGTGGTTTAATTTTCACTGCTGAAAGTCCAAACACTGAAGAACAAATCCATTAATGCGCACCTCCTCAAGTCCGCCAATTTAGATTATCCAATTCACTTATAGCGCATGTCTTTGGGCTGTGGGGGAAACCGGAGCACCCGGAGGAAACCCATGACAACACTTAGTGAACATGCAAACTCCACACAAAAATGCACACAGGCGCAGGCGAGACTCGAACCAGCGACCTTCTTTCTGTGAGGAGATAGTACTTACCACTTAGCTAGAGTGCTGCCCATATTAATGGACTATGACCAAATTAACACATTTTGACACCACTATCAGTAAACAAAAAGATTTATTAATAAAGTCTTATAAACACAGTTTATTTGCATTCCTGGGCTATCAGTTTTACTGTAAACCTGGTTAATGGATTATCTCAATAAGCAGATTTTTCAGAGTGAATCTGCATAGAGCAAGAAACATTTGTGTGACCTAAAATCAATGCAGTTTGATTGTAGACAGAAGGTTAAAGGGTCATGACACCCCCCATTTTTCGGTTAAGCTCTACCTCAGAATTTTTTCAAAAGATGCATCATAACGGGCGTGGAGCTCCGTGAGCAAAGGGAGGAGCGGGCGTGGCCAGCAGAGCATGGGAGAAGGAGGGGAGCAAACAGCTGTTGTCAGTTGGCTCCCAAAATGAGACACAAACCGTGAGAAGATGCATGATTTTATATTTTACAAAGTTAATATGTAAAGAAATAAACGGTCATGTAATGCCCTTGTCACAGTACGGGATCAAAACAGGAACAAAAAAAGTCTTTAATGACGATTGTGCAGTGAAAGTGACAAAAACTACAAAAAATCCAAAGTACAAAGTAACAAACAAAACAAACAAGCGAGGACTCAAACAGTATAAAACTCGAACTAGACTTTGACAACTAAGACAAGATACAGAGCAGGATCAGGAACACATACCAATAAAAACGACAACGACCAACTGACAAACAGAGGATAAATGACTGAACATATAGTGCAGGTAATCAACGGAGAACGGAGACAGCTGTGGTTGCAAATCAGTGTGGATGACAGACCGGGTGTGTGTGCGAAAGATTGTATGGAAATGCAGTTCTTAAGCCACTGTAGTTCGCTGGGAGTAGCTGGCGAACTACAGTGGCATCTTGTGGACAAACACAGTCATGACAGCCCTGCTACATTTGTAATTCGTAATTTCATATACAGATAACCACAATTTATATGATTATAAAGATAAACGTGTTTATATAAACACTATAAACGAGGAGGACTTCTCCCCTCCTCAATCCCCTGGTCTGAATGCAGTCTCTTGCCCTGCTGGTAATCTCAAGGATTTAGGCCAGGGGTGGCCAACCCTGTTCCTGGAGAGCCACCTTCCAGCAGATTTCAGTTGCTACCCATATCAAACACACCTGCCTGTAATTATCACGTGGTGTTCAGGTCCTAATTAATTGGTTCAGGTGTGTTTGATATGGGTAGCAACTGAAATCTGCAGGAAGGTGGCTCTGCTGGAAAAGGGTTGGCCACCCCTGATTTAGCGAACACAGCTGCACGGCGATGTGTTTAAATGTGAACAAACTCCACTAATAAAGGACAAAGTCTGCCATTTTCCGCCATACTTATACTGCTCTCCCAACAAAAATGCTTGCTGGACACAAACAGCTTGGCTGTATCGGTCCTGAGAGGATCCTGGGGAAAAACATGCAACAAACCCCATGGATCATGGAAACATGATAAACAATACCTCTTCATGAACGGCTAAATACTGTGTGATGTGGGTCCATGAAAGCTCTCTCACCCTGTCATAAACACAGGGTCTCACAGCTTGGCACTGGCAGGTCTGCCTTGCCTTGGAAAGCACGCACAGTCATGAATAATTAAGAAGCCGGCTCTTCTCATAGGATAAGAAAACTTCGCTATGAATAATAATGAGAAACCGACGCTTCATCTTTGTACTTGCAGTTTTGATCTATGTCACTGATTTTGATCCGCCCCAAAACTCATTTTAAACCCGGAAGCTGAAATTAGCTGACAAAAGCTCAAAATGATCCAGTTTTCCCCACAATTAAAGCTGACGTGCTAACATTGTCTTAACTGATGCTCAACACACACAAATATGTTGAAATCTCAAAAAAAGTACTCGAGGGTTTCTTGAACCTTTAAGATGCAAACCAAAATGTATACAGTTGATTGAAGTCAGAACTATTAGCCATCCTGTACATTTTTCCCCAATGTCTGTTTAATGACAAGAAGATTTTTTTCAACCCATTTGTAATCAAGGGCCCTATCATACACCCGGCGCAATGTGGCGCAAGACGCGGCGCAATAGTCTTTTGCTAGTTTCAGCTTGGCGCAAGAGTCGTTTTGAGGCGTCGCACTACGCTGTTTAAATAGCAAATGAATTAGCGCTCATATGTGCGCCCATAGGTGTTCTGGTTTAAAAAGGAAGACGTTCTGAGGCGGACCGCTGGCGCGTTGCTATTTTGAGAAACTATAATAGATTTTTCATTAGACCAAAACTAACCCTGTGAAAAACTCCGGCGCAGGGTTGCGCCTCGCTTACGCACTGGTTAATACACACAATATACACAATATCTTTACATACGAAAAAAAAATCAATATTAAGGATATATATAGGATATAATAAGAATAGATTTAGGATATAAATATAAAAGATTAAAATATTACAAAACATTTTATTTTCTGGCCTACATAAATATGAAAAATCACTGCTTTTTGAACATACTTCATTATTATTGTTCATTTATTCTTTTGCTGGAAATTAGAACTGAATTTAGAAATAGTTTTGAAACGAATATTTGCGCTTAACAAACGCAATTAATTATTTATAGACTAATTGATGTCTGTGCGTAAAGGTTTCCCTATCCAAGAGTGAATGTGAAAGTAGATAATTTATCTCTCATTCTCACGCAGTAGATGCTCTGTTTAATAAACTGTTTAATAAACTGTTAACTGTTTGCTTGTGAAATGCTCAGTTTTTCCACTTAGACTTACTTTGCGTCCTGTAAATAGCGAATGCGCTCTTGGCGTGACGCAGCTGGCTCTTAAAGGGAATGGGAGATGAGACTCTAATTGGTTTATTCTCAAAACACACCTATAACTCATTAAGAAAATAAACTCAACCCTTTTAGACCATGCGCCACAGCACAAAGCGGATTTTCCTGTCCGTAAATGAGCAAAAATGAGTTCTGACACGCCCTGCGTTTTGCGCTCTGTGCATGGACCGTCAAAATAGAACCATAATAGTTTTAATAACTCATTTCTAATAATTGATTTATTTTATCTTTGTCCTAATGATAATAAATAATATTTGACAAGTTTTTTTTTTCTAGATACTAGTATTCAACTTTAAGTGACATTTAAAGGCATAACTAGGTTAATTAGGTTAACTAGGCAAGTGATTGGATAGCCATAGCTCATAATTTTGACCTTAAAATGCTTTTTAAAATATTAAAAACTGCTTTTATTTTAGCCAAAATAAAACAAATAAGACTTTCTCCAGAAGAAAAAAATATTATAGGAAATACTGTGAAAAATACCTGGCTCTGTTAAACACCATTTGGGAAATATATAAAAAAAGAAATTCACAAGAGGGCTAATAGTTTTGTATTCAACTGTAGATAATTGATTTTTTTACTGGTTTTCCTGCAGGCGAGGTGAGCTCGGATGAAATCCTGCTGTTTCCAGATGACCAGGTGTTACGTGAAGGCTCAACGGTGATGTTCTGCTGTGTTTATCCCAGAGACACTTCACACATCAGCTCAATGTTCTTGGGCAACACTGCCTACAAAGTCATCAACATCAGCCCCCGAGTCAAAGCCATTCGAGTGGACAACCTCAAAGCCACCAATACATACGGCGTCAACTTCTACTGCGATTTGACCAGTGATGTAGCTTATAACTTTGTCACTTGTGAGTATTTCAGATGAAATCTTTTATTATTAACTATTAGGTAAACACTAAACATATCTGTTAATTAACAGTTGATGTATTTTGAGATCTGCGGGTGTTTTTGGTTATGAATTGCATTATGGGATGTTGATCTCTGCTCTTTCGACTTTTTATGTTGAAAATTAAACTGCAGCAAGGTTGTAATAGTTTTGGATTTTTCATTAGCTTTAGTTTCTATTTGGTTTTGACTTTTTGTTTTTCAAATTCAGTAAGTTTTAATTAGTTTTAGAGGGAGATTTACTAGTTTTTATTAGTTTCATTTTATTTTTTCTAAATGAGTCGCTGGTTCGAGCCTCGGCTCAGTTGGCATTTCTGTGTGGAGTTTGCATGTTCTCCCTGCCTTCGCGTGGGTTTCCTCCGGGTGCTCCGGTTTCCCCCACAGTCCAAAGACATGCAGTACAGGAGAATTGTGTAGGCTAAATTGTCCGTAGTGTATGAGTGTGTGTGAATGTGTGTGTTGATGTTTCCCAGAGATGGGTTGCGGCTGGAAGGGCATCCGCTGCGTAAAAACTTGCTGGATAAGTTGGCGGTTCATTCTGCTGTGGCGACACCGGGTTAATAAAGGGACTAAGCCGACAAGAAAATGAATGAATGAATGAGTGAGGATATTTGTTAGGTGCAAGATCAAAAATCAACAGGATAAATATTGTATAATAAAAACTCAGACATACATTTTTTGAAACCTGTATTCAGAGGACACATGAACACTATCATCTACACTACCATCAACCCATCTTCAAACTCAAATACAACAGTTTTGCAACCCAACTGAAGCATGATTCACTTATTTAAATTCCATTACGATTTTCTGTTATGAAATAAACTTACGTTTTTCACTAGATCCTCTCATTTAAGCCCTCGGTTTACCCGCGCTGCAGTTGTTCAAGTTTAGTTCAATCACAGCAGGCTATCATGTTCTGTTTGTGTTTGGTTCACTGAATCACGCATGCGCAGTATTATTGGTTAACCGCTTCTCAAACTTGATCTCAGTGTAACGTTACTGTTCTAATAACTAAGTAAGAGTATTTTATTATTTAGAGTCAGAGGGGGGTATTAGGCTTGTTAAAAAATAATTTGTTTGTGGATAAGTGCTTAATGGAGAGACACGAATCGTTTCAAATGATTCAGTTCGATTTGGTGAACTAGTTCAACCGATTCACTTAGAAGATCCGGTTAAAAAGATTTGTTCGCGATCGCGATACAGAAATAAAACCCATTATTGGGCACAAATGTGTTAAAGTAATAGTTTTAAGTCTCTGTATTTGATGCTGTCGCCATGCTGCTGTCATGTCTACTCGTTGTTTTTGTCGCGGGAGCAACAGCGAGGACGTGGACTGACTGAAGGAGACCAGGCACAATCCGGCCACGGCCAATGGCAGCAGGAGAGGTCTGGATGCAGACCTGGGGCCTCATGTATCAACGCTGCGTACGCACAAAAACTTTGCGTACGCCTGGTTTCACACTCAGAATCGCTCACGTTTGGATTTACTAACAATGAACTGAACGTGGGAATGTGCGCAGCTTCACGGCAGCTTTATGGCTGGCGTACGCACATTTTTTGTGCGTGTCTGTTTTATTTCCATTGGCGACTCCTAGAGGCAGTTGTGTTAAATTCTTCTCTACAAAGTGTCTGAGCCTTGCAATGGCAGCTGTATGAGACGGGTTCATCTAGCAGGTATATAAGGTTTCCATACCATACAGTTGACCAGCCAAACATTAAAGCGCAATTTGCAGCGGTCACCTGTTTCCCCAATGTAATCTGAGCGATCTACTGCACGCACATTGTTATAAAGACACTTTCTGAAGATGAATTTGCATGCGTGAATCAGAAACATTTCCATTCACTAAATGTGCAAATAAAATATGATGTACAAACTTATTAATGGTTCCTACTTGTCTTTCTCGTGATAAATAGTTGGCAAAATCTGATATGTAGCGGGGGAAAAAAGAAGAAAGAGTTCATCAGACGCTGGATTCGAACCGAGTTCATGCTGAAACGTGTCAAAACATGTTGACATGCGTCTTACAAGCTGCACCACTGAGACTGTACAAAAACTGCAACATTTTACAGCTATAAATCACACTATTTCTTTTTAATCCACTCAGTGCGATGTTCAGACCCAACTGTGTTAACCGCATCAGCTAAACTCTCCCACTCTATTTTTTTCTTTTGTTGTTAATTCCGGAGAACAAACTTGCAAATAACACCGCTTTAATTTCTCCGGTCTACATCCGAAAGCAGCACCTACAATTCACATTCTGTTCAAAGTTTCTCTACATGCTTGCTTTTGCCGTTGCTTTTTCGTTGGGTTTTGCCATTAGCATAGTCATTAGCATATTCATACGGGGGAGGAGGCAGGGAGGGGTTTTGTGCTCGAGCATGTTGCGCTCAGTTTCACGTTCATTCGGATGTACAAAAGAATATGCGTGAGATTCGGCGTACGCCACATCGTTTCATACATCTGAATTTTTTTCTGCGTACGCACATTTACAGCTTTGTGCGTACGCAATGTTTTAGTATGATTTCCACGCAAGTCTTCGTACATGAGGCCCCTGGTGCAGTGCAATCTGAGCTGCAGCCAATGCTTTTTAATGCTCTCACCTAACCCCACCCCTAATCCTACTCGTCACAGTGACGTCACTCACTCCATTGAGTGCATTGTGTCTGAGATTGCATCGCTGAGAGATGCAATCTCAGCTCGCATCATAAAGGCTGCATCCAGATACTATTGGAGGTTTCAGTACTAGGATTATAAATAGTTTAAAACCATGCATTAAAAAAGGAACAGCAGAAAAATATAAAAAATTATTACCATAACCATATTTTTTAAGTTATTCAGGGGACTACTGCTAATTTAAAAATATAAATCATTCATATAAAACATCAATAAAAAAAAAATAAAAATAAAAAATAATAATTTCTGCATAAGTATTTTCTGTAAAGCTGCCTTGAAACACGAAGACAAAAAATAGTAGTTGTAAAAGGGAATCGTTATTTTTTTTCCATGCATGATGAGAGATTTCTGATAAGGTTTTAATTTCTGCTTAACTTTGATCAGTTCCTCCTGAGAAACCTCAGCACTTCAGATGCGAGACTGCAGACATGCATAACATCCACTGCTCATGGGAAATACTCAGAGCTCCAAACCTAAACGGCAGTTATAGAAGGACGTACACACTACTAATCAGGTTAGTCTGATTTTATCACCACTGAAGAAGAACACACTATCTGCCCTGCTCAAGTTATCTGTGATTTCTACAGGAAATTACATTTTAAAAATACATTTAAAAAGCACACATAATGCTTTTAGCAGAATAAAACAGAATACACAGTATAAACAGAAATTAAGGACAACAAGATATAACATGAGCGATATCACTCAAGTACCAGTGAGATATGGCTGTGTATATGACAATATACAGCCACATCGCACTGCTACAAGTGTGATATTGTGTTTATACAATAGTTTGACAGCATAATCATGTATATAATAAAGAAAATCAAACATGGAGAGTCTCAAAAACCCTTTTGCAAGAGGAACTACTTTCTTCTGCAGTTTACTCACATCTGCAGCTGACGTCAGAACATTGATTCACGTCACTTTGAAGCTAGTTTTTGAACGATTCTCTAGCGTAATGTCTAAAGTCATGACAAAGCAGGTTGTTTTGCTCACATTTTAAGATTATAAGGCTGAACAGCATGAAATGTCATCAGTCTACAGAGATTTGACAATATTTTTCTGTTGGAATCGGGAGATCATAATAATTAACCCCTGAAAAAGCCAAAGCAAATCAAACACTACCAGATTACTATGGTATAAATACAGCACTACAAAATACCAAACAGAGAGATAGGCTTGTAATGTCACTTACCTGCTCTATAATGATTTGTTCAGCTGTAGTTTGAAACACGCTGAAAAAATGCTGTTTTTCTCCCCTAAGGACTTTTTATGCAGTGTCTGTTGCCATCTTGTGTCCGAATGTCAACCATCTTTGCTCTGCTCAGTATGGCAGGCTGGCCGGCAATGCGTGGAATTTCTGAAATGATAAATATTTAAAATAGGCACTGTCTTTATAAATAAACTACATAGTTGCAATCCAAACAACTACAGTTAAAAACAGGAGTTTACATACAATCTGAAAAAAAGGAACATAAACATTTTTAAAAAATGTCTGATGGTAAATTATACTAAACCTTTATTATTTTAGGTCCGTTAGGATTGCCTAAATGATTTACATTTGCTCAATGCTAGAATAATGAGAGATTTTTTTTAAATTTTTTTTATTAATTTCTAGACAGTCAAAAGTTTACATACGTTTTCTTGTTATTTTTTTCAGCTTAGCTTTTAAACTGTATAACTTTAGTCAAATGTTTTGGTTATCCTTCCACAAGCTTCTCACAATAGTTTGAAGGAATTTTGGCCTATTCCTCCTGACAGAATTGGTGTAACTGAGTCAGATTTGTATGCTGTCTTGCTAGCACAAGCTTTTTCAACTCTGCCCACAAATTTTCTATAGGATTGAGGTCAGGGCTTTGTGATGGCCACTCCACAACATTTACTTTGTTGTCTTTAAAGCACATTTTAACTAATTTGGCAGTGTGCTTAGGGTCATGGTCTGTTTGGAAGAGCCATTTGTGGCCATTAGTTTTAATTTCCTGGCTGATGTCTTGAGATGTTGCTTCAGTATTTCTGCATAATGTTCTGCATAACAGCCCCACAAAAGGATGCTGCCACCCCCACACTTCACAGTTGGGATGGTGTTCCTAGGCTTGTAAGCGTTCCCCTTTGTCCTCCAAATGTACTGGTCATTTTGGCCAAACAGTTCAATCTTAGTTCCATCAGACCACAGGACATGTCTCCAAAAATTATTCCTTTTCCCGGTGTAATTTAGCAAATAGTAATCTGGCTTTTGTTGTTGATTCTGGCTTGTTGATTTTGCCATGTTGTCACACAAGGAAGCAGTGTGCTTGAGGTTTTCCTTAAATACTATTCTACAGTTGTGCCACCAATTAACTCAAATGTTGCCAATTAGCCAATCAGAAACTTCCAAAACCTTGACACCATCATCTGAGCTTTTTCAGAGGCATAATAATCTTATTGTGTGTAAACTTGACTTTCAAGAAAAGTTATAACAATTTCTCAAAAAATATCTCTCATTATTCTGCTATAAAGCATAACAGAAACAAATGTGAAAATCCTGACTTACCTAAAAGACAAAAAGTTTAGTCACATTAACTTCTGACTTTTTTTTTTTTTAATGATAATGTGACTTTTTATACAGTGTAAGTAAACTTCTGGTTTTAACTGTACATTCAAACTTCAAAAGTACATTATGTTGTCCAACAGCTGCAATATCTGTCAAACTGTAGTCCTCTGCTTGCCACTCCTGTGGGCGGAGTAATACACAAGGGTGAAGAGGCTGTACGAGTGCAGATATTATTTTAATACATCACGGCCATCAGCCAATCAGATTCGAGAACCAGACAGAACTGTTGTATAAATAAGATTAAATTATGATTATTAATCACCGACCTTTAAAGGAATAGTCCACCTAAATTCTATCGTCTGTGCAAGATATTCTCCTGAAAAATTGTGATTCTTTTTAAAATATTTCCTAAATGCTGCTTGGTTTGAAACAAAATGTTAGACATAATTTTGATAGGTCTACTTTTGTACATAATATTTGAATTGTTAGTCTGCAAGGTAGTACATTTTCTGAGTAAAGTGTGATTTAAGGGCTTAATTAGTCAAGACAATTGGACAAGAGTGGCTTGTTCTGTAGCCAATCATTATACTTTCAATCAAAAGCCAATCATTATCATTTATAGAGGTTGCTAATAATAATAATAATTCGCTCTCTTTTATCACAGGCAAACTAAAAGAAAGAAGATATTTTTTCTACTAAATCATAAAATATACAGTGTCCTAACTCTATTAAATATCACTTGGGAAACATTTAGTATTGTCTTTATATTTATTATATTTATTATAATATGTATTATATTTATATTTGTAATTTTTTGTGGTGTGGTGAGGGAACACTTTATTTAGATGTCCATTTGAGTATTAGTAGACTGTCTGCTTAATACATGTTGATAGTGCTCTTTTAACAGACATTTAACAGACTATAAGAAGCTTTGTAAGTACATGTGAACTTACACTAACCCCAACCCTAACAGTCTACTTATAATCTAATGAGAATCAGCATGTAGGCATGTAGATTCAATTTAACCTAAATTCAACAAACGGACCATCAAAATAAAGTGTGACCGGCGGTTATAATAATGCAATCCAGTGACATGAGTAAATGGTGACAGAATTATAATTTCTGGGTGAACTATCCCTTTATCTGGTTTCAAAAGAGATAAACTGGCACTTATTTCAGTGTTAACTCATTTTAAGTTAAATAAAACTCACTTTACCATCCTTTTCTTCTTGTTTTCAGTGACTCCAGAACTGTAAGCTGTAATTTCAATCCTCCATCCTGCAGTTTTAAAGTTGTGCCACATCAGATCACCTACAACGTCACCTTACTTGTGAGAAACAGTTTGGGACGAGAGAGCGAATCTGACATATTCAATATCACAGACAGAGGTGAATATGAGCTAAAATACACTTTGAGATTGAGGATCATAAACTGTATCGCTCAGTCGGAGTTTAAAGATCTAGGTCAGAAAAACAAAAGGTTGTAAGTTGAAACCACATGAAAAGATGCTTTCGGTTGATTGGAGTAAAAGTCGACAAAAGAGACACGTTATCATTTACAGCTGGCATTCAAATGCGTCTCTTTTGTCCACTTTCTGATAAGGGTGTTTTTGCTTTTTCTGTTTCTCCTGGCCTTCTGAGGGTTGCCAAAAATTTCGAGTTCAGAACCAAACGATACAGAAATTCTACAAAGGTCAATTTCCTGCTTACATTTTTAAAAACCTTCTAACGGATAGGACAGTAGAGAGTATTGACAGAAAAGCATGAGGAGCAGAGCGAGGAGAAGGATTGGCCTAAGACCTCAAGGCAGGAATTGAACTCGGGTCGCTGTGAGCACCGGAGTGCATTCATTCATTCATTATTTATTTATTGCCATGTCAGCTACTAAGGCTATTTTCATGGCAAGACCATTTCAGTAATTAACAAACATCAACAGTAAAAAATAAATAATTGAATATACAGTTTAAATAAGATTTTTCTGCTTAATACATAATAAAAATTCTAATACTTTTTCTGGTGTCACTTTGTTAAACATGTCCTTAAGAGAGTTCTCATCATAAAAAGTCTTTCTGGAGTCATTAAAAGCAGGGCAGTCCAGTAAAATGTGTTTTACGGTTAATGGAGTTTTACAGTGTAAACATTGGGTAGGGTCTTTATCTTTGAGTAAAAACTTATGTGTTAATCTTGTATGTCCAATACGACATCTGGTAAAAAATGACTTGATCAGCTCGTTTCTTAAAATGTCTAATACCTCTGTGTGTACGCACCGGAGTGCATGTGTCGACGCATTAACCACAATGCCATTGGCGCCAACAATTTCCTCCTAACATTTGAGCGATGTTGAGTGCGTATTTAAACTCCTGTGATTGGCCATTGTGTTCAAAACACCTTTTATTTTTAAAATCCCTCAAGTTAATGTTGTCTATCGAGTAATGTAGTCTCCCTCGGAGATATTGTAGTTCAGTAACGGTGCGTAGCATATAACCGTGAAGCTTAAATAGGCTGAGCATATTTTTATTAATATTAAGACACATTAATACAAACTAGCCACCCTTTGATTTTTTTTTCGTTTAAGTATATTTTTATCAAACGAAAAATGCAATGAATTGTTTAATTTGGTTTTTCATTTTATTAGAATTAATATAATTAATAGGCTACACAACTCCTATTGACTCCAGTTGCGTTTTGACAGATAAGGCATGACTTTCTGGCTCAAAGGCATTTGTTCCTGTTAATTTCAGCGCTGTATTTTGACAGATTTGGCAAAGGCTTCAGCTATTCTACCTGTCAGCTGGTACCAGCCTCAGTTTTGCGACTTGACCTGTGTGGCGCCTCGATGTCTGAACGACAGCTTGAGAGAGATGAGATCAGACCTCAGATTCGATGTGTAGCCGCACTTCACAGTTACTTAATAGCAATTTTTAATTTTGGCTCACCTAAATTAACTTTTCATTTATTAAAAGCCGAAATATTTCCAGACAGACGAAGCAACTTTCGGTTTTTAAAGAGAGCGGCCTCGGTGATAAAAGACGCGCGCACACACAGGTGCAAAAAAGTGCAAAAAAGAAGAGCTGAACTTCGGAAAAAGTGCTCACTTCAGTTGCCGTGATGGTTGCTTTGTTTCTCTGCAGTTGGCTTGTCAATGGCGTGGCATTGCTACATCATTCTTGTTTTAATAAAAATAAGATATTTATTATTAAACACTGTGAAATGATGGTCGCGTGATTTTTAAAATGAGAGTATGCCTTGCATATTTATTCTCACGTGATAAATGAAATATGACGCATTACTATGTCCAGATTTTAATTATAGTGCATGCTCTGGTCTTAAGTAAATTATTACGAATTCTATTTTCCATTTAATTCAAATAAATATTTAATTAAAAAAAAAAACGAATACTTAGAAAAAACAAATGTGAGGACGGTGTAATGGTGAAAAAGTTATGTCACCGGTGTTGCGTCTTAAAACCGGTATCACCGTCAACAACATCTATCGTGGCAAGCCTACATCACCCACAGTCACAAAGCTGCGGTCACACTACACTTTTCGCCCCATAGACTTCCATTCATGCGCATGCAAATGTGGCAGACTGGAAACACAAACCTGTGCAAAAAGTCTCACATGTCGATACGTTGCAAAGATCAAGCTTGGAGAACTCTGACCTGTGAAATCACATCATGTGATCGCATGAGACTAATAGAAGATCAAAAGATGATATAAAAATATGGACTAATCGCTCGCCTTTACTAATGTCTAACCATCTTGTTTAATCCCGCCCCTTTTTGCAGCATCCTACAACAGAATTTTGCATGCTCAAACTGGTGTGGCTGCAGATTAAGATTGAACCAGGAAGTTTCCCAAAGTTACTCAAATATTCAAAAAAGTTACTCAAATTACTCAAGCCTTCCTGCAACGATGAATGAGCCACACAGAAAAAGTGTTACAACATTCGCTGTGCAGGCACACACACAGACACACACACGTCTTTGCTCATCTAGTGTTGGTAAATGTGACAGGATGCCCACCAAGTGGGTAAATACGCTGCTGTATCCATTAAAGCTAAGTTGCTATGCAAAATAAACCTAATTTAACGTCTACACCCCAGGATTGCTGTTGTGTGATTGAAGTGTCCTCATTTATAGTTGTGCTCACTACGCAGTTGTGCTGAGTCCAGTGGTTATGAATTGCGTAGCTCAAAGTGGATAGTTCAAAATGCAATAAAAATACCAAGTGTAGTTTACTGCTTCTTGAACAGATGCTTTAATCTCAGTTTCTTTGCAAATCCTGTCTTGTTGACATGATTATAAGAGTTAATACTGACACATGTTAATACATGTCTGTCAATTAACATTGGTGGGTAGGGAAAACAGCGCTGCTATGTCATGTTGCGTCAAGATTGCTGCGATTTGGATCCTATTGTAATGTCAGAAAATGTAAAAAAAGAAACTTGCTGTGTTTATATTACTCCAGTATGACTGTGGACACACGATACCTGCATAGTTCTGTCTAAACAGCTTCCTAAAGATGATTTTGCTCTATAAGCGCCCTTTAATTCTAGGTGTAAATAGGGCCCAAACCAACACTATTGTATACTTTACCTTAAGTTGCATATCGGAATGAACTCTTTAATGTGTTTGTGATCTCGCTTCAGTTTTTCCGATGCCTCAGCGTCTTGAAGCGACTGCAGGTGTGTTTGATTCACTGGTGATCTTACATCTGAACGGCAGTTTCAGCGGACTTCAACTAATTTGCCAGATTGAACTTGAGCCAGGAGGAACCGTACAGGTGATTCCTCACATTAAAGGTTTACTCTTTCCTGTTGCACATTACACTTACAAATAATGAGATGCCATCAGAGAGAGTTTCTGAACACTCCAAAAACTTGAATAATCTCTCTTACCACATCAGATAAAGCAAATGATCTTTAGCAGAGCTGCTGAAGCACATCCTGTTTTTAAAGAGCAGGTCAAATGAGATTTTAATTCAATTCAAATCATGTGTATTTGTCTAAATAAAGATTTATTGAATTTCTAAAGCGCTTTTACAATGTAAACTGTGTCAAAACAGCTTAACATGTCCATGTCAGCCCCGTTTTGAAAGTTAAAGTTTAAAAGTTTTTAAAGGGGGTCGTGTCGCATCGCATCCGGTGTGCGACCCCTTTTAATATTGTGTTGGCACCTTCTACAGTAGAATTTAATGCACCTAGGCTTAGAACACATTGTAATTTACCTTAGAATATGCATTTAATATTAGGATAATTTTGCAATGAATTCGATTTGGTTCTTTTTAATCAATTCGGGCCTTAAAGTCTGTTTGAAATTAAAAAAATCACTGTTTTTATTTTGATAGTGCACATTGTCATTCTTTAGATGAATAGTTAATCCATGCTGAAAAAAAGTTGATCCACTGAAAAAAAAGTTGATTTTAGCATTTGCTTCTGCGTTTGGAGTGTCGGTCCTTCTCTGCTGACGTCAGTTTGACGGATTCAGTCACAATATTCTTAACCACGCCCCATACCGTTAGTTCAGGAATGATGCACGGAAAGAAAGCTCCGCCTCTACTCGATATTCAGTTGGAAGGAGAGATCTGCGCGGGACTAAATTTTGAATCCCCCTTCCAGGGCATAACCGAAAACCACCCAGCTATACAGAGTCCAGACAGCCTATGACAAGTTGTCTGTATAAACAAACACACACACAAACACACACACACAAACACACACACACACACACACACACACACACACACAGCATCCCGCTTTCTCTCATTCGCGCACACACAGCACCAAGCTCTCTCTTATTCACACATATACACACACATATAGACAGCAACTGACAAGCAACACACAGCATGACGCTTTCTCATTTACACACATAGATATGCGTGCTCGCTCGCTCAGGAACGACATTGTTAGACCGCCTGCTTCCGTTCAAATTACACCAGTTACCGACCGCTCCTGCGCTTTATTCAGAAGTTTATTCCAGCGCTGCAAGAAATCTGGTCGTGGGAATGTAGACCTCTAGTTGGAAGTATATCAACACGCTTGAATAAAGTCTCGGCAACTTCCAAATTACACAGACTTTTGGGCGTGTAAACCCCTCCCTTCAATTAGCCAGCTCTCCTCTGATTGGTCAGCTGGCCACTTCTGTTTTGACAGATTTTTCAGTGTGAGAAACTGTCACATTTCAGATAGTTATATGTCATAGATAGATGGGGATTATGCAAATGTGTTCACAATATTCTTAACCACGCCCCTCTCACCGTTAGTTTGCTATAAGAGAAAGATGCACAAAAAGAAAGCCCCGTCTTATTCCATACACAGTTAGAAGTACATCAACACATTGAAATATAAATCTTGGCAACCTCCAACTTACACAAACTTAAAGGTGTATAAACCCCTCTCTTCTGTAAGCCAGCTCTCCTCTGATTGGTCAGCTGGCCACCTCTGTTTTGAAAGAATTTTCTATGTGAGAAACTAACTCTCACATTTCAGATTGTTCGTATGTCACAGATAGATGGGGATTATGCAAATGTGTTCACAATATTCTTAACCCCGCCCCTCTCACCGTTAGTTTGCTATTAGCAAATGTTGCGCAAAAATGAAAGCCCCGCCCCCTATTCAATATTCAGCTTCTCAAATTTCTCACATTTCACATTGTTTGTGTGTCACAGATAGGTGGGAACTATGCAACGGAGGTACTTTGAAACTGTTAATGTATAGTAGCAGACAGAAGATGACTTGATAAAGAAAATTTGCAGCTACAAGCATCAATAAATGTTGTTGTCTTATAGGAGTCCGTTCAGGATGGATCAGACTCAGTGCAGCTGTATTTGTTCAGACTGCAAAACCTCAAGCCAAGCACACAGTACGCCAGCAGAGGGCGCTGCGCAGTACAGGGCAAACACTGGAGCCATTGGACAGCACAGCAGCTCTTCATCACAGGTGAAACTAAAGGCCCTCTTTCATGTTCCTGCTTAGTGGTTAAAAAACACAAACACCTTTAAAGTGACTTACTGTCAGTACATTTTCAAAGAGACAGTTCACCCCAAAATGACATGTGTTTCTAAACTTTTATTAAATTCTTTCTTCTATTAAACACAAAGGATGATATTCTGAAAATTGTTGGTAACCAGCAGCCGATGACATCCATTTTTAATGGACATCATTTTAAAAATGACTGTTTTAAATAATGGTTTATAAACACAGGTTTACAAAATAAACAAACAAACAAACTACAATTGTAGTTGCACTTTTACAGTTGATTTAGCTTTTTTTGTAAAAATAAATAAATAAATAAATAAATAAAAATCAGAAAACATGTTAAATAAGATTCTGAAATATTTTGTGGCATACTTAAAAAAATAAAGGTGATTTAGTGTTTAAAAATGTTTCATTTTTAATATTTTTTAAATTTATTAATTTTTTTTCTTTCTTTCTCTTTTTTTCTTTCTTTCTCTTTCTTTCTCTTTCTTTCTTTTTCTCTTTCTTTCTTTCTTTCTTTCTTTTTCTCTTTCTTTCTTTCTTTCTTTCTTTTTCTCTTTCTTTCTTTATTTCTCTTTCTTTCTTTATTTCTTTCTTTCTTTCTTCCTTTCTTTCTTTCTTTCTTTCTCTTTTTTCTTTCTTTCTTTCTTTCTTTCTTTCTTTCTTTCTTTCTTTCTTTCTTTCTCTTTTTTCTTTCTTTCTTACTTTATTTCTTTCTTTTTCTATTTTTCTCTTTTTCTCTTTTTTTCTTTCTTTCTTTCTTTCTCTCTTTCTTTCTGCAGAGCCTCTAGTGACTGTAGAACTGTGGAGACAAATCAAGAAACATCCCAATCGCAACATCACACTTCTGTGGAAACCTGTAAGTTTATTTTTCTTATCCTTTTTGTCATCAACTAAACAGCACAGCATGAGATTAAACACGTATTTTCTTTTAACCACATTATCTTAGTGTCAAGAAACGGTTAAATTCACAGTTTAAATCAGGGGTTTCTAAACTCAGTCCTGGAGGGCCGGATCCCTGTATAGTTTAGTTCAACTCCAGTTAAACACAATTCAGTTTTTATATGGAACTCAGTTTCAATCCATTAAGTATTTTTTTATTTTTAGAAAGATGAGTACCTCAGACAGCACAGCACCTGCTTGATTTGATCACCTGCCATTTCAGTGGATCTGAAAGCAGGACTTATCTGACTAAAAATGGGCTTATGAAGGAATAATGTAAAGGGGCTCTATTATATTTAACAGTTTCTTAAAACCCGACATTTTCACTACCGATTAAGATCTCTCAGATGTATTTTTCCACCACTCTCTTGGTAGCGGTGTTGGTGCGCGATATATCGGCGGTGTGGGCGTGTGTGTGATGTACCTGAGCGGCGGGGGTGAGTTGTGTCCAACCGTACCTGAAGGGAGGGATGCGGTGGAGAGGGATATGCCACATATTTAGGGACCGAGGTGGAGACGCACAATTTCCTGAAGATTATCATTCGTTTGTGGGCATCCAGGAGTCTCCTGAAGCTTTCGGGAGACTTGGGATGTCTGGGATTACATTAATGTTACTCGCCATTTTGCGAAGTAGTGTAGCGCGTGGCGTGCCTGACTCGAGTAGTGTTTGGAGGTTGGCTTTTTTGTGTCGGGGGTCCAGGGTTTCTGGAGCAAGGGGGCGGAGCCAGCACGAGCAGCCAGACCGACACAGAAGCTAGCAAGATTGCTATTGAGTGCATGCTTTAATAATGTAATATTCTGAGTTCAAAAGCAATGGTCTACTGTTTAACATGACAGCGGGGAAGGCAGCATGTTGTCTGCCACCTCATATGGGATGCCATGTTAAGCGTTGCGGCATTGAAAACATTATATTTTGAACTTAATCTCATTTATCTTTTTAGATGTTAGTCTGAATTGAATGGTTCAGGTTCGTAATGCGAACCGAAATGAAAGTCTCGTACTGAACAGTTCAATACGAATACGCGTATGGTTACATACATACATAAATACATACATACATACATACATACATACATACATACATACACACATACACACACACACACACATATATATAATTGAATCATATATAAACATAAAAACACAAATATCGGTTGATCGTGTATTTGTTCCTCTTCCTCAGGTCAGCAGTGACCCGCAGCTGTACATTGAAGTGTATGAGGTGTGTGTGAGCAGCATTAGTCCACAGAGGAGTGTGTGTATGAACGTCACACAGACGCAGGTGGAGTTAAACGCAGATCTCCACATGTATGATGTCACCGTGCAGGCTGTCATTCGCACTGGTCTATCTGTACCGTCACACATCACCATTCCTTCAGCATATACAGAGGAAAAGGCTATTTTTGCTTCACATTCAGTCGTAAAGAGGATTATGGGTAATGATGAGGGATTCCAGCTCACCTGGACGAGAGACTCTGGTGCTACCTGTGATTATGTCGTAGAGTGGTGCATACTGGGTATTGAGCCTCCCTGCAATTTACAGTGGAGGAAGGTTCCAACCAATCAGACATATTTACAGCTGAACGCAGGTATACTGATGTGTTTGAGCTCCTACAATACAAGAAGATTCATAATTATTAATAATAGTAATAATAATAATAATGATAACTAGCTGACAAAAGTCTAGTCGTCGATCTCAGTTGTAAAAGCAACAAATAACTTGACTTCTAGTTGATCATTTGGAAAAGTGGCAGAAGGTGGATTTTTCCTCTGAATTATCTGCTGAGCTGCATCCCAATCATCACAAATACTGCAGAAGATCTATTGGAACCCTCATGGACCCAAGAATCACACGGAAATCAATCAAGTTTGGTGAAGGAAAAATCATGGTTTGGGGTTAAATTCAGTATGGGGGCGTGCGAGAGATCTGTAGAGTGGATGATCAACAACAACAGCCTGAGGTATCAAGACATTTGTGCTGCCCATTACATTACAAACCACAAAAGAGGGCAAATTCTTCAGCAGGATAGCGCTCCTCAAAGTCAAAGTCTTCATTAAAGTTCCTAAAAGCAATGGTCAAGGTGCTCCAGGATTGGCCAGCTCAGTCACCAGACATAAACATTATTGAGCATGTCTGGGGTAGGATGAAGGAGGAGGCATTAAAGATGAATCCAAAGAGTCTTGATGAGCTCTTGGAGTCCTGCATGAACGCTTTCTTTGCCATTCCAAAAGTGATTTGAGTCATTGCAGAGATGTATGGATGCAGTCCTCCAAGCTCAAGATGGAGTCAGACACAATATTCATTCTGTCTCCTCTGCAGCAGGACTTTATATTCTATACTGGACATTATTTCTGTTAAGTGACAAGACTTTTGTCTAAGCAAAGTCAGACTTTACTGTCCTAATGAAATCATTCAAAATCAAGCCATGATCATATTTTATTTTGGTAAAATAAACGTAATCTTTGCCTTTCATATAAGACACTTCTGATGTGTCAAATGATCAACTAGATGCAGTGCTTAATTTGTGAATTGCGAGGTCCAGGAACAGATCAGGTAAACAGATGGGAGAGAAGAGCAGTTGAGAAGGGGGCTCGGTAAAATGTGGTGCCGGATCAGATTTCATAGGTGCTGGATCCGGAGTGTTCCGCCACAAATTAAGCTCTGACTAGAAGTCAAGTTATCATTTGTTCCTAAAACTTGGTTGGCGACAAGACTTTTGACAGGTAGTGTATTTGTAACGTTTTAACAAATCTATTTGAGAATTACAGATTGGCCACAAAAATTGTCATTATTGTTATTTTAAAGCTTTATATATTTTTGCTTCTGTCCTTCAAATCTGTACATTTAACAGGTATACATTTAGTATGATTAATTATTTTATTTGAATTATTTTTACTTTATTTAGACAGTTTTTTCAGGCGTAATTTGACTTTTTTTGTTTTGTAAAAGTTTGTTTGAAACATTAAAGTAGACAAGAATTATTATTTTTTTGTTATTTATTTATTCACTTATTTTTAAAGATTTATTTTTGGCATTTTTGCCTTTATTAAGTAGATAGGACAGTAAGACAGGACGTGAAGTGGGAGAGAGACAGGGTCTAGGGATGAGAAATGTCCTGAAGCCGGGATTTGAAATCGGGACGCCCTGAAGAGCTACAGCACCATATGTCAGTGCGCTAACCACTAGGCTATTGTGCCGACTATTATTATTATTATTATTTAATTCACATAACATTTGAATAAATATATATTAAGATAAAATATATAGAATATAAAAATTTTGCTTTGAAAAGTGAATAACAATATTAAACAGAATACATTTTTATATATTTATGTAAAAAGTATTGATGCTTTTTATTTTGAGTGAACTTAATTTCTAAAATCTTGCTAGCGTATTTTTATTAAGCGCTAGATTTGACCATACAGTTCACTTTTGTTTAAAAAACATGAAATCAAAACTAACCATATTGATTTTGTTAGATCACATTGCTAGTTTTGGAGTGAACAATTCATCTGTGAATTAAGAAAAATAAAACAATATCTACCCTTATAATCTTTCATTAAAATCTGAAAATGCACTTCCTGTTTGTTTTCAGTTAAAATCTTAAATTATGTCTGAGGTATTGTGCAGGGCTAACATACTCAACAACGCCCCTCCCCCTGTCAGCTTTTTCAACAATCAGAAATGGTGAGGAGGAGGAGTCTGTTAAGTTATAATAACATTCTGAAACCCATTTCCTGATCTTTTTGAATGAAATGTCTACTTTACGTCCAATCAGCTCGCAGTAGAAAAACAAGCCACGCCCACTGTTTTCTCATTTAATATTCCGTTTTTCTAGGAACTGCGTCACAATACAAAAAAGAAAAAAAGAAAAGGGTCACAGCGTCCGGTTTATGTGTACTTCAGGGAAAGATGAATTTGTATATTGTATAATCTAAATGGCATAAAAATATAGCTTAAATTGTAAAATATAAAGTATATAAATAACAACATAACATTTCCAGGTCTAGAAATACAGCTCGCGTGTCTTTTTTTATGTCATTTTCACAGGAGATTTTACAGCAGGAGTTCAGTACATGTTTAAAATCTATGGCTGTGGCGCTGATGGACCCAGACTTCACGAGAAACAGACTGGATACCTCAAAGAACTGAGTAAGAGCACAAACACACTTTACCTGATGTATCCAACTTATCTTTAACATACAAGCAGACATTTGTATCTCAAATACGTGAGGCTTCCACTATCATCTGTTTCCAGCCATCTTACCCAAACAAAAACTGTCTGTTGTGCTGCTTGATATTGAAAATATGCAGTTCTTTTTGTTTATTTTGAGCTTCAAAATGTGCCACACACCCTCTATTGGAGACAGGTCGGGATGGCAGACAGGCCAGTCAAGTACCTGTAACCTCTTCCTCTGCAGCCAGGACTTTGAACAACAATAACAACAACATCTACCATAGACAACAAATAAGTCTGGCAGTGCTTATATAATGTCTGAGTTCTTGATTATGCAGAGCTCGTCCTGACTGAAATGCAGAAAACTCCAACACTTCTCCAGAATGATCTGATAGACTGTGAAGCTCATCCTGAAAATCAGGACTACCATTAGAAGAAGGAAAACTAATAAATTCAATAGAGTGTCTCAACTTTTTCACATGACCGTATATCACAATTGAACATTTCATTCATTAAGTTCAAAATGTTTTTAAGCTTCGTATTTGAATGTTTTGCAGGGCCAAAGCAGTACCCAACACTGCTCTCTCATCCAGACATCACCTGCTCATCTGTAAACCTGACATGGAGATTTAATGAGCAGGATCCCAAACACCCTGGATTCATTACAGGATATGTGATCAGAGTCCGTTCAGAAAGCGGTTCTGAACTCCGTGAGTGTGACATTGCTCCTAAATGAGAAATTAAACACTCACTACACTGCAAAAAATTTATCTTGTTTCTAGTGCAAATATCTAAAAATTCTTAAATCAAAAATAATTTTTTAGAAAATAAATAATAATAAATAAATAAAAAAGAATAGAATAATAAAATGTTGTTTTGTTTTCAGAAATAATCCGTCATAATTAAGTTACAACAAGTAAAAATTCTCCCAGTGGGGTAAGTTAATTAAACTTATTTCAATGTCAAACCAAAGAAAATGGAATATTTTATTTATCCCACTGGCAGTTTTTTAAAGGAAAAACTCACTTAATTTTGACTTACAGTGCACCCGGTAAGTATTAATAGCGCTTCACTTTTTTCCACATTTTTTTAACGTTACAGCCTTATTTCAAAATGGATTAAATAAATGTATTTCCTCAAAATTTGACACACAATACCCCATAATGACAATGTGAAAAAAGATTTGTTGAATCGGTTGCAAATTTATTATAAATAAAAAAGCTGGAAAATTACATGTACATCAGTACAACTTTGTTGTGAAGCTCTAAATTGAGCTCAGGTACATTCTGCTTCCACTGAGCATTCTTGAGATGTTTCAACAGCTTCATTGGAGTTCACCTGTGGTCAATTAAGCTGATTAAACAGGCATATACCTGTTTATATTTGGCCCCAGGGTTGACAGTGCATGTCAAAGCACAAACCAAGCATGAAGACAAAGGAATTGTCTGTAGACCTCCGAGACAGGATTGTCTCAAGGCACAAGGCTGGGGAAGGTTACAGAAAAAAATTCTTCTGCCCTGAAAGTTCCAATGAGCACAGTGGCCTCCACCATCCGTAAGTGAAAGATGTTTGGAACCACAAGGGCTCTTCCTAGAGTTGGCTGGCCATCTAAGCTGAGTGATCGAGGGTGAAGAGCCTTAGTCAGAGAGGTGATCAATAACCCGATGGTCACTCTGCCTGAGCTCCAGCATTCTTCTGTGAAGAGAGAGGAGAACCTTACAGAAGGACAACCATCTGTGCAGCAATCCACCAATCAGGGCTGTATGGTAGAGTGGCCAGACGGAAGCCAGTCCCCGCCTGAAATTTGCCAAAAGGCATCTGAAGGACTCTCAGACCATAAGAAACTAAATTCTCTGGTCTGATGAGACTAAAATTGAACCCTTTGGAGTGAATGCCAGACGTCACGTTTGGAGAAAACCAGGTACCCCTCATCACCAGACTAATACCATCCCTACAGTGAAGCATGGTGGTGGCAGCATCATGCTGTGGGGATGTTTTTCAGCAGCAGGAACTGAAAGACTAGTCAAGATAGAGGGAAAGATGAATGTAGCAATGTACAGAGACATCCTCAATGAAAACCTGCTTTAGAGTGCTCTTGACCTCAGACTAGGGTGATGGATCATCTTCCAGCAGAACAATCACCCAAAGCACACCGGCAAAATATCAATGGAGTGGCTTCACAACAACTCGGTAAATGTCCTTGAGTGGCACAGCCAAAGCCCAGAACTAAATCCTATTAAACATCTCTGGAGAGATCTGAAAATGGCTGTACACCGTCACTTTTCCATCCAACCTGATAGAGCTTGAGAGGTACTGCAAATAGGAATGGGCAAAAAGTCCCAAAGACAGGTGTGCCAAGCTTGTGGCATCATGTTCAAAAACACTTGAGGCTGTAATTGCTGCCAAAGGTGCATTAACAGAGTATTGAGCAAAGGCTGTGAATACTTCTGGACGTGATTTCTCAGGTTTTTTATTTTTAATAAATTTGCAACAATTTCAACAAATCTTTTTTTCACATTGTCATTATGGGGTATTGTGTGTAGAAGTTTGAGGAAATAAATTAACTGAATCCATTTTGGAATAAGGCTGTAACATAAAAAAAAATTGAAAAAAGTGAACCGCTATGAATACTTTCCGGGTGCACTTTATATGCAAAAATATTTATTTTACATAAAGTTATATATATATGCCACTTTATTAGGTACACCTGTCCAACTGCTTGTTACCGCAAATTTCTAATCAGTCAATCACATGGCAGCAACTCAATGCATTTAGGCATGTAGACATGGTCAAGACGATCTGCTGCAGTTCAAACCGAACATCAGAATGGGGAAAAAAGGTGATTAAAGTGACTTTGAACGTGACATGGTTGTTGGTGCCAGACGGGCTGGTCTGAGTATTTCAGAAACTGCTGATCTACTGGGATTTTCTTGCACAACCATCTCTAGGGTTGACAAAGAATTGTCTGAAAAAGAGGAAATATCCAGAGAGCGGCAGTTTTGTGGGTGCACATGTCTTGTTGATGCCAGAGGAGAATGGCCAGACTGGTTCCAGCGGATAGAAAGGCAACAGTAACTCAAATAGGCACTCGTTACGACCGAGGTCTGCAGAAGAGCATCTCTGAACACACAACCCGTCCAACCTTGAGGCGGATGGGCTACAGCAGCAGAAGACCACACCGGGTGCCACTCCTGTCAGCTAATAACAGGAAACTGAGGCTACAATTCACACAGGCTCACCAAAATTGGACACTGAAAGATTGGAAAATCGTTGCCTGGTCTGATGAGTCTTAATTTCTGCTGCATCATTCGGATTGTCGGCTCAATTGAGCATCGTGTCAATGCCACAGCCTACCCGAGTATTGTTTCTGATCATGTTCATCCCTTTATCATCTCAGACTGGTTTCTTGAACATGACAATGAGTTCACTGTACTCAAATGGCCTCCACAGTCCCCAGAGCAATCCAATAGAGCACCTTTAGGATGTGGTGGAATGATGATATCATGTCAACATGGACAATTATGGATTGTTTCTCTTTTTTATGATGCACAGTCTGCTTCGTTAGGTGTAAGAGTTAATCATATACTTTTTCAAAAATCTTATTTATTAATTTAGCTCAGGGTAAATGAAAATGAACATTTAAATAAGGGAAAATTATAATTAATGAATTTTAATTAATTTTAAAATTTATAATAAATGATTAAATGATTTGCACATATTAATGTGCAATAATCAAACATTAATCGATTGGACAGTGCTGCAAATCTCAAGATAACAGGAAGGTAAAAAAAAAAATCTAAAATAAATTGACTTATTAAACTTATTTTGTCCACATACTGTTAATAATATTGCACAATAGTTCATTTTAGACTAACAGAATGATGTTACTCCCTTGTCTTCTGTAATCCTCATGCTTATCTCCTGTTGGTTGTGGCAGTTTCCTTCAGTGAGTCGGTGAATGACCCTCACAGCAAGTCTCTGACTGTCAGCGGACTCCAGGAGAACCAGCCGTACACATTTCACCTGGCTGCCTGTACTTCTGCAGGCTGTGGACCAGAAAGCAGAGCCACCTTCAGAACCAGACAGAACTGTGAGCTCAAAACTGACACAAACAACAGCATAACAGAGCACAAGACTGCTATATGGCATACTTAAGTTTTAAAGGAGTTTTTTAAAACACAGTTTTAGTTTTAATAGTAATAATAATTTTTTTCAAATAGTTTTGTCTTCTCCATGATAACAGCACATATTATTTAAATTGTTATTTTGTAAGATACTAGTATTCAGCTTAAAGTGAAGTTTCAGATCACACGATTTTTATTGTCTGTTATGAAAGTCACTATATCAGATTATGCGATTTTTTTTTTCCTTGATAAAATCTTGACTTGGGTAACAAATGTGCCAGACTACAAATTCCTTCTTGATCAGTAATGATGTCTACAACCAGCGTTATTTCCTAAAGCAGTCAGAAGTGTTGATATAACAATATTTCCTATCATATTAATTTCAATTCATAATATGATATTAAGAAATTTGTTTATCTGTCAATCTCAATAACCACTGATACTTGCTGACAACTCGGCTACATTATTTAAGGGCATTCATTATGACATTGATAGGCTCAAACGAATATTTCCTTTTTAAGATTAAGGTATTTTCTTTTAAATATAAATGTATGGTCCCACTTTATATTAAGTGGCCTTAACTAATATGTACTTACATAGGAACTAATAGTTTGTTACAATGTTCTTATTGTGTAATACATGTATTTACTGTGTACTTATGCTTGATTAACTACATGTATGTAACTACATCTGTAATTAACTTTTGTAACTACATTTGTAAATACATTGTTGACCATCCCTTACACCTTAACCCACCCTTAAACCTACCCATGCCACCAAACCTGTCCATAACCCAACCCCTATCCCAACTCAAAAGCACCACAAGTGTTCTCAAATACATCATAAACACAGTAAGTACATTGTATTTATTTTTTTGATGTAAGTACATAGTAGTTAAGGACACTTAATATAAAGTGGGACCAAATGTATAATTATCAGCTATGGGTTACTTATTAAACACTCCCTCGCCCTAAACTTGCCGCAAGTGAGACGGAGAAAATAAAAGCACATCAGCACCCAGGCAAATCAGATGCTCAAGACAAAATAATGACATATTACACAAAATTACAAATATATGACAGAGGTTTTAGATAAAACAGTTAAAGCAAGGCTTTAATTAAATCATTATTTTCCACAGAGTGAAAAAAACATCCACCCGTATAGTTGAGTAATGGATGGGCTACAACAAAAATATAATTTGTAGATTTTTCTTGGGAAAAAATATATTTGTGAAACAAATTTCGTTTGGTATAATTTTTATCTTAACGCTAATGTATTATTTGTTGATCCTTTATCTACTACTAGATAACCAAGAATAACAAATAACATCTAAGGTAAAGTGCTTCAAAACCAGTCTGTATATTCTTCAGCACCAAAGCACAAAGTGGTTTGTTAAATAAAACCATAATCTAGCCTATATAAAATTAAAGTGAAATATTCACAGTCTCAGAGAAACTTATGTTAAACTTTCCATTGCTGGTGAGTTTCCATTTAATTAGTTTATTCAAGTAAGTTGAATAAGCAAGGCAGGATTTTACAATGTATTAGCAGCACTGAATGTGTTTACCACAGTAGGTAATCTGGATTGACAGAGTTTTTGAAACTACGTCTATCACAGTGCTCCAAGGTTTGTCACAGGCTGTCAGACTTACAATTGTGATTTGAATGCCAAAGCTGAGTGGGCTTCTCTGTATGTAAGGTACACCAACTGGATGACTCTGGTCTACAAGGCTCTTCTGGGACTGGTGCCTTCATACCCAAGTTCCCTTCTTCATACGTCAAAAAGCCAGTATGCCCTACGGTCAAATGAATCTTATAATTTGACTGTTCCTCGGGTTCAAACTGAAATAGGAAAGCGAGCATTTAGTCATGCCGCCCGCTCATCCTGGAGTACTCTTCAGTTCAAACTAAAATGTCTGAGCTCATCCCAATTACATTGTTTTGCTCTTTCCTTTTAAACAAACAACAACAGTCAATTTCTCATTTTATGTGTTTTTAACATACTGTAATGTGCTATAGATGAACAACTAAACTGTATTTTTATATTATATTAATTTTCTATTTAATATATATTTTTTTCGTTTCATAAGTCCTGTGTTGCGGACCTCTTGGCCAGGTCACCCTTGTAAATGAGATCTTGATCTTAATGGGTTTTTATCTGGTTGAATAAAGATACATATACATTTGAAGTCAGAATTATTAGCCCCCTTTTGATTTTTATTTTCTTTTTTTATATATTTCCCAAATGATTTTTAACAGCAATGAAATTTTCACAGTATGTCTGACAATATTTTTTTTATTCTGGAGAAAGTCTTATTTGCTTTATTTTGGCTAGAATATAAGCAGTTATTAATTTTTTAAAAAACATTTTTGGGACAAAATTATTAGCCCCTTTAAGCTAATTTTTTTTCTCGATAGTCTACAGAACAAACCGTCAATATCCAATAACTTGACTAATTACCCTAACCTGCCTAGTTCACCTTATTAACCTAGTTAAGCCTTTTAATGTCACTTTAAGCTGTATAGAAGTGTCTTGAAAAATATCTAGTAAAATATTATTTACTGTCATCATGGAGAAGATAAAATAAATTAGTTATTAGAAATATATATTTTTTAACTATTATGCTTAGAAAAGTGCTGAAACAATCTTCCCAGAACAAAACAAAAATTGGGGAAAAAAATAAACAGGGGCGCTAATAATTCAGGGGGGCTAATAATTCTGACTTCAACAATTGCTTAAAACACTTTAATATTTCAGGAGAAAGTAAAGTTTGCCTATGATTGATCAAATCACCTATAAGTAAATATGCAGCCTATTTATTACCTGACCCACAGATTACCGGCAGCAAGAAATTATGTGCTCCTATTGTCCACTGTCACACACGTGACGGAGCTCGTCATGAGCAAAATCAGCGTTGCAGGCATTGGCAATATAGGCAATCATAAAGGGCGACAAATCTTGCAGGGGGCGGCACAGGGAGACGCAAGGGCGGACTGGCCATCTGGCAATTCTGGCAAATGCCAGAAGGGCCAGACCAATTTTTAAATGTGGGCCGGTCAGTTTTTTTTTTATTTTTTATGTATTGTTTTTAAGTGCAGACAGCTTTTATCTCTTGCTAGATGTGATATTATGATGATGAATAAAAATAATAATAATAAATGTTAAGCATTTGGCCCAATCGGCAACTGCCGCCTGGTTTCAAGATGGGCCGACCCAATCCAAGGTTACCCGGACATAATCAAAATCTGGCAAAAATGTCATATTATTTCACTATCTTTACACCAAAATAAATAGTGAATGTGCATGTCCGCGGGTGGGGCTCTGTCGGTGTGGTAATGAGGGCTGGTGTGGCAACAGTGCCAGGGCTAAAATTTTGTCCCAGTCCGTCCCTGGGGAGACGGGAAAAAAAAGGTGACCCAGTAAAAAAAGAAGAAGAAAAAAAAGTGACCCAGTAAAAATCATCTGTGCCCCAGTAAGCTTTGAGAGATTTCCTTAATGCAAATGTATTCATTTAGAGTGGTAATCCCAGAATGAGAATGTTAGCAGCCAATCACATTTGGCATCTTTTGCATGGGCAAGTTTGTTACACTCTAGGTGCAACCGAAACAATGCTGATGAAAGCAAACTGACGCATATACGCAGAAAACCATTCCTGTGCGCCAAATAGTTTTATAATGCAAAAATATTATGCATTATTGCTCTACATCATGTTCAAAAATTCACAGTGAACATTAACTTTAGAGTATTTATAATGTTCTCCACAGATTACCTGCTGATGGTCAAGATTGGGGTTCCTCTGCTGGTCCTGTTGGGTTGCTGTGTTTGCCTGTGGTCGTACAGAAATATGTAAGTCTGATGATAATATTGGCTGTGAGCAGATGAACTGTGCTTGTATTACACCTGTAGTGTGCTGATGATGATGATGATGATGCTGTATATCTCAACCGCGTTCAGAATAAAAGGATTTCTAGAAGAATCCTTCAGCTTTCTACACATTAAAGCACCAGACCTGGATGAAGATCTGTATGAGGTAATTCATCAGGTTTATGTTATACAATAATGCAACTAGGAGGGAATGTTCAAAATCTTAGCTTTTAAAGGAGCCCTATGATAAAATCATTTAGATAAGAAGTTTAAAGACAGCTGTGTGGCAACAGTCTGTGAATATAACCAGCTTCTAATAGTAATAATGTATTCATTTAATTTGTTTACAATCACACTTGATAAAAACAGTCTGCAGAAACACTTTGATTGGTATTCTCCATTTGTACGTGTCATCAAAAGGGCGAAAGCCCCGCCCATTAGTGACCATCTCTTCCTCATTAGCATATGACATTAGTCTTGTTTTTAAATCTGCCACTATTCTGACATAGAGGCATTTGTAGCTCCGCCCTCTTTTAAAAAGAGCACAATCTAGTTTGAATTTAAAGCGACAGTTACCAAAATGCCACACTTGGGATCAAAGCCTAAAAGGGGCGTTTTCCCAACTGAATTATCCCTCAATCATCTTCTCCTCTCTTCAAGGCGAGTGAGAAGATCCGCAGACTGCAGATCGAGGACTGCAAATGGTGTGACGTGGAGATTTTAGACATTCGCCACACAGCGTTAGAGAAAACATATCTGTCGGACGCAGAGGACCAGAACTGTGCTCTCATCAGCCCTGAAATCACTCTCTCCTCCTTAATAAAAACATCCCATCACCTTAACACGGACATCTGGACAAACACAGGCCTCACAAACTTCACCTACTTGTCTTCTGCGCAACCAAACAGCCTGGAGAGCAAACAGCTAACAGAGATCTCCAGCGACTATGTCACTTCTGTGGCCACATATGCGAAACACGGTGAAGCGAACCAGAGCTGATGATCTTATCACAACATCCTCCAGTTCCTCTTCCTCCTGAACAAAAAAAATGAAGAGATCTGTTGTGAAATGTGAAGTTTTGCAATAGTTGAGCATATTTGCAACCTCATTTAGGTACTTTTATCTCTGTTTTGCATGATCACAGTGTACAGAAAGTTCTGTTCCAA